GGAGGGAAGCTCTATAGGAAGCCTTCAGGATAAGCCCACTTCCCAGACGGAAAGCTGAGCCATTTATCAGTCCGTACCCTTGCAAACACCTCTCCCACTCCCGGCCAGAGGATCTGCATACCCAGCCCTTCAGGAATAATACTGATGCCTTGAACTCCTTAGCTCTGGGGCAGGTGATACCTTGGGGTTCTTCCAAATCGAACCAGATGCGGGCCATGCTTCCAGTGGCCTGAGATGCCAACACGAAAAAAAAAAAAAAAAATGACTCCCCACGTCCCCTGGCTCAAACCCAGTACAAAAGTGACTATTTACAATGAAGGCGTGGGGAGTGGGAGGGGTATACAGGGAAGAGTGTGGGGCCGGAGTGAGCATTCCGCTGGAGGGAGGCCACGCCCCCTGGACCCGCCTTTTAAAGGGACAAAGCCAAACAGCGAAGCTATCTCTAGAGGCTCTCGATCCCCAGGGGCGCGGAAGACCCTAGGGGTGAGGGATGAGGGTGGGGCATGGGATGGGGTGCGGGTGGGGAGGCATTGGGAGGAGATGGAGGAAAGGTAGCAACTGCCTCTAGCCTCCCCCCTCCCCCCTTGCCGGACACACAGTTTTCCGTGGGATGAACACAGAAAAGGGTTAATCAAAAAGAGTTCGATGAGCGAGTCTGACGGTCGAGTGGGGCGGGCTGGAGCAATGAGGCCGCAGGTTCCGGTGGCCGGTGGTGATGGAGTCACTTAGAAGATGAGAGGTTGGTGGTTTTGAGGTGTGGAGTAGGGTGAGGGAAAGGGAGTGGGGGAGGAGGGGTTAGGCGGTCTCCACCATGTATTTCAGGGAGGCAAGAGAGTCCTAGATTGGCTGAGAAAGGGTTAAAAACCAGCAGCCTTCACCACCACCACCCCCGACCGAGACTTTCCCCATCTCCTTCCCTGCAACCCTGCAATCCCCAGCGCGACTGGCGAGGGTGCTAGGGGGACCAGGGCCCTACATACAGCTGCGGCGCGGTGGACGGAAGCCCTCTCCCGAGGCCGCGCGTCGAGCAGAGGACAGCGAGCGTGGCTGAGCGTCGGGATTCCACGGGAGCGTCAACCAGGGTCCTCGTCCCATTGAACCCCGACTTGGGTATCGCGCTCCCATTCTGCTTGCCCATCATGACATCCAGCCGGCCTTGGGTCAAGAAAGCGCTGGCCAGGTTCGCGGTACCCCGCGAAGGCCTAGCCTGTCTGTCACGACAGGTGCGCTCCCAGTCAGCAGCTTGGACGCCCCAAGTTGCCAGCCGCATAGCCACTCTCGTTAATACTTTTGCCAGCGCTCAGTCTTATCACAACATCGAATCCTGGTCTTGAAACAGCAATCAAAGGAGGTGGGGGACCTCCTCCCGGGTTAGGGATAGTTGGTGACCAACCAAAAGCAAAGGGAGGATGAGGGTGTGGGAGGGGAGGAGCAGGTGGGGAGAAACAGAACGTGGGATCTGAGGGATTTGGCGGTCAAGAAGGGAGAAGTACCACCAGAGAAAAATGGTACTGTAATGTTCCAAGTATCGCTCCCCAGTCATCTACCCATGACTCCCACTTGCAAGTCCAGGGCAGGCATCTGGGTGGGTAAAGATGGCAAAGGTTTGCCTTCTGATCCTGCCCAGCTAATTATTGCAGTGACATCTCCTTGCCCAGGTAAAGGTGGCTGGAACAGGGCAGAACATGGCTGGGCAGGTTGGCTCAGAGTCCCCTAGAAAGGGGGGATGAAGGAGGTGAATTTGGCACATTGAACCCCCTGTTATCATAAGTGCTTTGAGGCCTTCTCCCACATTCCATTGGTACTGCCCCTTAGGACAGCAGAAGAGGAGCTGAGTTTGTTTTCCCCTCTTAGATTTTTACTGCTTTGCCCAGAAAAGGACAACAGGGGGTTCTCCCTGGCTGGTGGAATTTGGAGGGGGAAGATCAGAAAAGGTAGGGGTTAGCTGATAAGGAGAGGGCTTTTTTTTTGTTTTGTTTTTTTCTTATAAAGATTCTAAGAAAAATTCAGGGCAGGAGGAATAAGGGAGGGGGACCCAATTTAGCTCAGTCCACAGACTTTTGCAATGCCTTTTCTTAGGGGCCTCCTTGAAGGATGGTCCCACTTCCTCCACTCAGACAAGGTCCTCTTCCCCCCCAAAAGCGGCTCAGTTCCAAGGAAGTTTGGCACTTTTTAAAATGGGGAAATGGGAGAGAGAGTTGAGTTGAGGAGGAAGACAGACATAGACAAAGCTAGAGACAGGACAGAGAACACGGAGCCACAGACAGCCAGAGAGAGGGACGCGCTGCAGGGAGGTACCGAAAGCTGGGGGTAATGAGAAGGAAGGAGACAATTCAATGCAGCAAACACTTATTAAGCACCTACGGGGTGCTGAGGAGCTGGGAGCAGGGAGGCAGCTCAGTCTCTGAGATCTGATTGGCTAATGGGGGAGAGAGGGAAAACAAAGAAATGATGGGTTTTTCGCTAGTCCCCATCCCTGCCCCCACATCTGTGTCCCTTCTGGACAAACTGCAGCACAAAAAATTGAGGTCAGATTGCAGAAGGGATTTTCAAGAAAGGGGGAGATGGTGGGATGAGTTTCCCAGGGTGAAACAGGAAAGGTACCTGGCTCTCCATTCACCAACATGGTGAGTGAACCAGCTCACTGAGCTAGCAAACGACCTTTCAGATAGCCCTAACTGCTGGGGTGGCGGCTCTCCAAGAAATGTGAATATGAAGGGGTTTGTCACACAGACACTCAAGGGAACACTTTTCAGGAGGCCCAGCCTCCAGAGCCATGTCTGTGTGACAGGAATAATGGACCCAGCTGATTGGGTCCTACACTCCAGCCAATGAGTTTGTAGAAAGTGGCTGCCAAGCAGAGGATGCAAATGATATGCAAATGAGCTCATCTGCTCCCACCTCCCCAAACCCAGACCTTACTTCACCTCTCCCTGGTTTCTTTCCCTCTTCTTGAGGGCCTGGGGGGTTGTAGGGAGATATTTCAGATAGATACTGTCATCTCCACCTTTACATGGAGATACTGTAAAATACTATAAGGTCTCTTAGGAAGTGGAGGGGAGCAGTGGTCTATGAAGCCACACTCACCTCCAATCCCAGCACCCTCCCCCGCTAGAAGATATGTACAAAGTTATATTAAGAACTGTTTTGGCACTCGGATCTCCATCTGGGCTCAGTGTGGAGATTAGAGGTGGGGGCATCAGTGATAGGAGATGTGAGAGGGATGCAGGAAATGGGGCCTGCCCCTCACCCTGGAGATGACAAAGGCATGGAGTCACCCCAGTGCCCAAGCTGTAGTCTCTCACTGGATGGAAGGGCCAGGGTAGGAAATTCAGTGCAAGGTACCTTGAAGGCTATTGCTTTCTAAGGATTTTCACATTTTGATTTGGGGGTGGCTCTCTATGAGGGGGAGGGGGCCTCCTAGGCTTTAGGGTGGAAATTGTCTCTGTGGCTTTTCTTCACTCCTCTTTTAGGGGGAAGACCAGGAGGAAGCCAGATTCCCCCAAAGCCATGGAGAAGAAAAGGGTCTGGAAGACCTAGGAGGGGGACAATAGGGGGGAGAGGGAGCATGGGGTGCCTTTCCCCCAGAGATGCTGATGATGGAACCAGGGCCCTGAGGGCCCTGCTTTGGGTTGAAGAAAGTGGGCATGGTCTCCAAGGGGCAGAGAGGGGAGATGAGGCCTGGGAGTGGGTCTCAGCTATCCTAGTCTATAGAGTTTTCAGGCCCTCACATTGCAGTTCACTGACAGGTCCTTACAGCTAACCACACGGTGTACTCCCCAAACAACTCTCAGGGCTGCCTGGCTTGTCAGACTTTGTCTGAATGTTCTAGTTCCTTGGAGCCCAAGGTGAGCACAGCAAAACATTCTGATCCATCATCAGACACCATCGAAATATGCCAGCCTGCTGGAAGCCACCAAGCTGATCTAATCCATCAGACCATACATACTACCATGGCTCAATGAATTCTACACTGGGCCATACTGGCCTGACAGCCACCCAACATCTGGCTCACCAGAGTCAATGAAACAAAAGTCACACAACACAGGCATGCACACAGAATGTGGGACAGGAAGGGGGTTCTTCAACAACAGTATTCTCTGGCTGCATCTCCCAAGCCTCCTGCCAGGGCATATTTGCAGTCTTGGTGTATTTGGACGGAGATGACCCCGACAGTATTGGTTTTTTTCCCCTGGGAATCCTCAAGATTGGATTCAAGCCCCACCCTTTATTCTTTTCTTAGGATGATGCCCAGGTCAATACCAAAGAGGGCTGTGGGTGGAGGATGGTCAGGGACTGGCCACATCCAATACAGGAAGAGCAAGCTTCATTCCAATGACATCACAGGAAGTGACCTCAAGACTCCACAGGAAGTGCATACCCCTCAGATATCAGCTAAACAAGCTTCAAGGAAGGACTCACTAAGACCTCATAGGAAGTCCTTGTTTCTCATCATGACAGGAGTGACCTCTGGAAACTGGTTCCTGTGAACACCCAGAAGCACCCCAGAAAGTACTTGACTCAATGATGTCACAATGGGACCCTGACACCCACTACTCTAGGAGAAGCCACAGAAGCCACAGCAAATTGCTCCAGCCTTTCACAAGAGTGCTGTTCACAGGACTGGCCCAATCCCAGAGCTGACTTCATTCCCAGCAGCACCATCCCTGCTCCCATCCAACCTGACAACAAGAGTGAAAATTCCACCCAGGAGGGGCATCGCTGGGCTGGTGGGGGCAGAGTAGCTGAGGAAATCTGGGAACTCTGGGGTCTCTGTTCCAGATGCCCTATTTCAGCTTAAGACTCCTCAGCTACCTCTACTCCCATGCTTTCCTGGGATCTGGAACTGAAAGCAGGGTGGGGTGTTGCATTTTAGGGAAGCCCCTCATTCCAGGTGACCCTCCCCTCCTCCCATTTGGAAACAAAAACTTATAAAGGGGAAAAAATGTCCTTACCAAAGGAAAAAAGAGGGGAAAAAAAGGAGGGAAAGAAAGAGAAAATAACGCTTTGTTTTCTATTAAAATCAACAAAATGCAATATATACAGATATCACACAGACCTGGGCCCTGGGAGAGGAGGAGCAGGCCCAGTCAAGCACAGGGAGGGAGGGAGGAGGGGTCAGCTCAGGGCCAGGGAGGGGGCTTCTGAGCCCCTTCCCCAACCGCCACTCAATCCTGCCTATGACTACCAGAAGGGGAGGGTGCAGCCAGGCCTACCCAGCCCCATCCCAAGACAGCAGGTCCACGCCAAGCTGAGGTCAGGTCAGGAACTGGGGGAGGAGGGAGCGGAGGAGGAGGAGGAAAAGGGGGAGGAGGGAGGAGGGCGAACGCGCACACCACAGGCCTCATCCCACTTTCTGGGGGTTTGAGGCCCTCACCCCCTGCTCGTAGGTGACCCGCTGGCTGATGAGGTATTGAGCGGCTTGTGTGGCCGCGGGGCTGCCCGTGATGGTGACCCGCCGGTTCCGCGTGCCTGGCAGGAATTCGCCCTTCTTGGAGATCTGGATGCGGGCGCCTGTCAGCTCCTGGTACTCCACCAACGTCTTGCCCCCCTTGCCCAGGATGGCTCCCACCAGGTTCTCCGGCACTGCGATCTCCACCAGCTCCTTGGCGCTCTCGGCCGCCAGCTTCTCCGCCGTCAGGAAGCCTCCGGCCGCCCCCGCCGCCGCCGCCGCGGCCACCAGCGGGCCGCCCCCCGCGCCGGCCCCGGCGCCGGCCCCCGCCCCGAGGTACCCGTTGGCGGCCGCGGCCAGCGCGAAGGACCCCAGCGCCCCGGGCGGCGGCGGAGGCGGCGGCGCGGCGCCCCCTGCCGGCCCGGCCCCAGCCTCGCCCGCGTAGGACGCCAGCAGGTTGGCGGCGGCGGCGGCGGCGGGGTTGGCGCCCGCGGCCACGGCGGCCAGGACGCCGGAGGCGGCGGCGGAGTTGAGGCCCAGGCCCAGGGAGTTGGTGTTGTAGCCGTAGCTGGCCAGCGTGTTGAGCGCCGTGCTGATGGCCAGCAGGTCGGTGCCCGAGAAGGCGGGCAGCGCGGCGGGGAAGGCGCCCACGCCCGCCAGCCCCGCGGGGCCCAGCAGGCCGGAGGCGGCGGCGGCCGAGGCGGCGGCCGCGGCGGGCAGCACATCCGCGGGGCTGGCGTAGGGCGAGCCGGTGGGGTTGGAGTTGGCCACGGGCCCGGCCACGTTGGCGTAGCTGATGTTGAGGCAGCTGCTGCTTTGGGGGTCTTCCTGTACCTTCTGCACGATGGCGCTCACGGCCTTGTGCACCTGCTCAGGCTCACCGCTGACTGTCACCACGCGCTCCTGTAGGTTGATGCCCTCGGGCTTCTGCGACAGCTGCACCCAGGCACCTGATTGTTCCATCACGGCTTTCACCGTGGCACCGCCTTTGCCGATGATGAGGCCCGCCGTGCTGTTGGGGACTATCAGCTTGGCCTGTGGGAGGAGAGACAGGGACACTGAGCAGTCTGAGGCGTTTCGAGCTCCCCTGACAGGCACCAGAGTGGGCTCCTGCTTGTGGGGAATGTTGGGCTAAGAGCGGTGGCACAAGTTTGTAATTGTAGCTATTGGGGGAGCAGGGCTGCGGCAGCAGGATCTCGAGTTCCAGGCCAGCTTGGGCAACAGAGGGAGCCCCTGTCTCAAAACAAAAAGGACTGGGGCTCTAGCTCTGGTAGAGAGCCCATGAGTCCCATCTTCTCCTGCAACAAACAAATAAATGGCAATCCTCGGTTCCATTCTCAATATGGAAGGAAAGAAAGATATTAAAGTATTTCCCCCATGATTTTTTTTTTTGTCTTTTTCCTTTTTATTGGTACCGGGGATCAAACTCACAACTGCCTGCTTGCAAGGCAGGCGCTTATGCCACTGACCTAAATCCCCAGCCCCTTCCCCCATGATTGATAAATGTAACTGGCATTCCAGGCCCTTCAGCAGCCATATCTGGGGACCCCCAAGTACTTTCCTCGCATCCAGCTTAATGGCTGCCCCCTTAGGGGCTCCTTCCTACCCTGTGTTGGTGTCCCACCTTTGGTCACTGGGAATGCTTTATTTTATTTAATTGTTTTGCCTGAGTTTACAGGCATCACCATACTTGCTTCTTGGGTACTCTTGACTCCTAGCCCTGGGAAAAGCTTCAGGTCTCACTTTACAGATGAGCCACTCAAGAATTAAGAAATGAAGGGACTTGCCCTAAGGCTTCCCAGATGGTAAAGAAGCCGAGGCGCATCATCTTGGCCTCTGATCCACGGCACTCTGCACTCTGTGACATGGTCTCCTCACTTAACCTCCGTGCTATTGTTTGGGCGGAGCTGTGTTCCCCTCATGTTCTTCTGTCAAAATCCTGCCCCACAGCCCAGTACTTCAAAATGTGCCTGGGTTTAGAGACAGGGTCTTTACAGAGGTGATTAAGTTAAAATGAAGTCATCAGGGTGGGTCCTCATCCACTAAGACTGGTGTTCTTAGAGGACTTGGACACAGACACACCCACAGAAAGGAGAGAAAGTGTGAGAAGCCAGGGGGAAGACAGCCATCTGCAAGCCAAGGAGAAGCTACAGAAAAAGCCAACCCAGCTGTGACAATAGCCTTGGACTTTGGACTCCCAAATTGTTAGAAAAATCAGTATCTGTTACGTCCCAGTCAATGGCACTTTATTATGGCAGCCTAGCCTACCTCAGGTGTCTTATTTGTAAAATGAAGATAACAAAAAGCTTTAGGTTTGAGAAGGCAGAGTTAAAGAAGAGGCCTTGTTTTAAAATACAGTGGTCTCTTCCCAGCTCCGGAGCACCCCTCCCTTCAGTCACATGTGTGTCTGTGAAGCTACAAATTAGTCAATCTTAGTGATGTTGGGGACATTTTAAAACCAAGAATTCTTGGAGCACGCAATAGTAATGGAGCGCATCAAGTTTTTACTGTGGTTAACCTCCACCTGTGAACTCTGATCTTAGATTAACTGGCCAAGATATCTGGGACAAGTTTGCAACATAAGAGAAGACATCCATAGAAAAGCAAGATGCCTTAAAGAGGATATTTTCTCTATCATATGCGAAAGAATTTGATAAATAGGACTATAGTGCTTCGAGATGAATTGTCTAAAAAACTTCATACACCTCGTATGGTGGCTAAGGTCTGTAATCCCAGCACTAGGGAGGCTGAGGCAGGAGGGTTGCTTTGACTTCCAAGGCCATTTTGGGTTACATAATGAGTTCAAAGCTTGAACAGTCCTGTCCCCTTATGAAAAAAAATCAAAACAAAAACACTTCCTGTACACAACAGTATACTCTATGCCACTGAGCTGTAACCTGAAAACTGGTTTAAATATGGTGTGAGAGTGTGGCTTGTGATAGGGTATTTGGCTAGTATGTAAAGACTTTGACATAGTCCTGCCAAAATTAAAAAAAAAATAAAATAAACAAAAAACCAAGAATTCTCTTTTGCACCTCCAAGAGCTTTTCTTTTCTTTTTCCTTCCTCCTGTTCTTTTCACTTCTGTGTTGGAGATGGAAGCCGGAGCCTTGGTCATGCTAGCAAAGTGTTCTGCCATGGAGCCACGCTCCCAGGCCCCTCAGAATTTCTATACATAAATTCTTCCTCCTAGGTCAGGGATTTAGCACAGTGGCACAGTGCCTGTCTGGTAAGTGCAAGGTCCTGAATTTAATTCCTGGGGAAAAAAAAAAAGAAAAGAAAGAAAAAGAAACAAATCCTCAGGTCCTCTTACACCTGTGGATTTTTTTTTTTTCTCTTTTTGAGACTTGCTATGCAGTTCAGGCTCACTTTGTAGCCTAGGCTGGTTTCAAACTCGTAAATGATCCTCTTGCCTCAGCCTCCGAGTGCTGGGATTACAGGCGTAAGCCACCATGCCCGGCTATTTATTCATATTTTTGAGGCAGGGTCTCACTATGCAGTTCAGGCTGATCTTGAGATCACTTTCTAGCCCAGCACCGATCCTCCTGCCTCAGCCTCCCCAGTGCTGGAATTACAGGCATGAATTCCAGTGCTGGAATTATTGGTACCAGGGATCGAACAGTGCTGGAATTATTGCCATGCCTGGCAAACCTGTGGATTCTTTACTCCTCATCATCCTCCAAAGCCCATGTCTCAGCCTTTCTTCTACCCTCATGGCAGACAGGAGAGAATTGTGGGAGAGTATATATGTGTGTGTGTGTGTGTGTGTGTGTGTGTGTGTGTGTGTGTGTAAGTTTTGGCTGTTGTCGAGGACTGCCAGCAGTATGGATATTCAGCATGTAAGGCCACAGGGATTTGTTTTGCTTTGTTTTTTTGAGATCAGGTCTTGGTTTGTAGTTCAGGTTGGATTGAAACTCACTATTAGCTCAGGTTGACCTTGAACTCGTAGCAATCCTTTTGCCTCTGCATCCCAAGTGCTGGGACTACTGGTGTGTGCCACCATGCAGGCCGTAGGTCACAGGTGTTTGTAACTCACAACTAACAGCCATTTCCTTACAAGGCAGGGCTATCCCAGGTCCTGTGTAATACTTCTCAGTGTCCCACGACATAGATGCTACAGCCTATTTACAAGTCTCTCTCTCTTTTTTTAGTGCTGGGGATCGAACTCATGACCTCACACTTGCCAGGCAGGCGCTTACACCGATGAGCTAAACTCCCAGCCCCTTTTAAAGTCTCTTGAGTTGGGGCTGGGGATTTAGCTCAACGGCATAAGCGCCTGCCTTACAAGCAGGCAGTCGTGAGTTCGATCCCTGGTACTGATAAAGACAAAAAAAAAAAAAAAAAAAAAAAAGTCTGCTGAGTTCAGGACTGAACCCTATGATACATGGAAGAATGAAGCTCTTTCTACCTGCTTTAAAGAGCTACTTAGATTTCCAGCAACATAACTGCCAGTAACTCAGAGAAAGACTGTGCTTTGCTCTGTTCTGAGCTTTACCATCAGTGGTCTATTATTTTAAAGAAACTTGACATCAAAAGTAATGTTAATTGCTTTATTTCAGTCTCCAGTACTATATGCTGGATCACTTTGTTTTTTGTGTGTTTTGTTTTTGAATTAGGGTCTTGCTATGTATACAGGCTGACCTTCAACTCCCTATGTAGCCCAGGCTGGTCACCAATTTGCAGCAATCCTTTTGCCTCAGCTTCCCAAGTGCTGGGATTACAGGTGTGCAACACCATCCCCAGTTCACTTCGTATTTGTACAAAATTATTTTTCCTACTGTGATCCCAGCTGAAGATTTACATATGCATCTTGCCGGGGATTTAGCTCAGTTTTGTAAGTGCCTGCCTGGCAAGCATAAGATCATGAGTTCAATCCCCAGTACCAAAAAAAAGAAAAAAATACGTAAAATGCATCTTATTTTAAAAGAAGTCACCTTCCCTTTATTTCTCTTATATTTAAATGTCTTATGGGAGGCTGGGGATTTAGCTCAGCAGCATAAGCGCCTGCCTTGCAAGTGCGTGGTTGTGATCCCTGGTACCAATAAAAAAAGTGCCTTATGGGATAAATAAAATACATGGCCGATAGAATATATGCTTGGCAATAAGTTTAAATGAAACAAAATACTGATATACACATGCTCCAACGTAAATAAACCTAGAAAAGGTTATGCTAAGTGAAAGAAGCCAGCTAGAAAAGGCCATGTATGATTCCACTTACATGAATGTCCAGGATATATAAATCCACAGAGACAAAAAGTAGATTAGTGGCCACCACAGGAAGGGACAGGAAAGTCTGGGTGACTATTAACAGGAATGCAGTTTCTTTTGGTGATGAGAGAAATGTTCTGGAATTAGAAGGTGTTGACGGTTCTGTATATTCTATGAGTCCTTTTTCTGTGAATGTCTAGAATGAGCAAATTATAGGTACAAAAATAGTAGTGGCTTAGGAATGGGAAGGGATGAGTTGGGAGAGCAGAGGGCGACAGTTAAAGAGATCAAGCTTTCTTTTGGAGATGATGAAAGTATTTTAAAATTAATTGCACTAATGGATGCAAAACTCTGAATATAATAAAAGCCACTGAGCTGTATACTTTAAATTGGTGAATAATATCGATCTGGATTATATCTTAATAAAAATGTTAAGAAATTATAGGTACATAACAATTATTCATGTATACATCACAAAGCCAAAAGAGCTAGGCTTTATGGTGCATGCCTATGGCAAGCTGGGAGGCTGAGGCAGGAGGATATCAAATTCGAGGCCAGCCTGTACAACTTAGTGACTCAAAATAAAAACTAAAAAGGGATAAGGATGTAGTTCAGTGGTACAGCATTTGCATAGCATGTATTAGGCTCTGGGTTCCTTTCCTAGCAATGCAAAAAACAAACAAAAAAATTAGAGGGATTTTACAAGTTTTCACTGTAAACAAAAGACAAATATTTGAGGAGATACATATTTTGACCTTATTTAAAAATTATATAATGTATACATGTATCAAATGATCACATGGTACACCATTAATATGTATGGTTTTCACGTTTTATGTGTTGGGTAAAATTAATTTTGAAATCTTATGAGTGTAGATACGTATTAGATGCACAGCTTAGAGAAGACCCATTACTTCTCAGAGCTGCTTCCTCCACATCTGTGAAATGGGTGTATCATTCCTGGTCCATACAGTGTTCAGTGAGACACAGCTGGCCCGCTTTGTGGGAATCACTCAGACAGTGTTAGTTACGGCAGCCGAGTGGCTATTTTCTCAACACAAAGTTCAATCCTACCATGGGACCTTAGGCAACTGCTTTCATCTCTGCCTCAGTTTCCTATGTTCAAGAGTAGCGTAACTACAGCTGCCTTGTAGAATTATTGGGACGGTTCAGTGACTATTAAGTGACTGCTCAGTGGCTGGCACAGGGGAAGCCCTAGGAAAGGGGAAGCTGCCTTGCTGATGCCCTCAAGTTGTAGCATAGAGCATCTTAGAGACATCCATGACCCACAGAATCCTAGAACATCAGGGTGGTAGGAGAGCAAAACCTTGGAATAATAATACAGACCTAGACCTAGAACATTCTATGCATCAGACTTACAACTGTTAGAATTTTTAGAGGCAGGAGACACTCAGAGACTATCTGCCCCAGTGATTTGCAACCCCACGGAAAATTTCAAATTGTATGAAAAGCAGCAGCAGAAGCAGCCAACATCGCATTTACCATTTGGAAGGAAACTTTCTTTTTTTTTTTTTTTTTTTCTTTGCTCTGATATGATATGCACGATGTCTTTTTTTTTTTTTTTTTGGGAAGGAAACTTTCTAAAAAGTTTTGTATAGTAACTTACTTAAGTGTCTACAACAAACATACATGATAGACACTATTATCTCATTTTCTAGATTGGGAAATGGAGGCACAGAAAGGTTAAGTAACCTGTGCAAGGTAGGGTAGTAGAGTTATGATCTGAAGCCAGGCCAGACTCCATACTGAGATTCCCAGGCCTTAATCTCAGAAATCCTCATTCAGTGGTTCTGTGTTAAGTGCCTGGGACCTGAATGTTAGCTAATCAGATGACTTGGATACCAGTTAGGGGTGAGAACTACTGGTTCAGCCCAGAGGCAGTAAAAGGGTGGCCCTCAGGTCCCAGGCAGCTTATAGGCACATTTTCTTTGACTTTCATGGTATTTTAAAAACCTAGATAAACTTTTGAGGTCAGTCAACTTCAAAGATTCATGGCTTCTTTTAAAAATTCTGGAAGATGTGGAAATGGTCTGTGTTTCCCAACAGCAAGAACTGCACGGAGCTGAGTAGTGACTGCCCCCTTTGTGGAGAACATACCGTCTTCAGAGGGCCACAGGCTCAACCCTTCATGTTCACCACACAATCTCAGAGGCATTTCAATTTATAATCCCTGGTTTTATCCAGCCTGTATACTTAGGAGAGAAACTGAGGCCTGCAGAAAGGAAGGGAGCCCTGAGTAACACAGCAGGTGCAAAAGAACAGAAGGATCTCCTGATTCGAAAGTTCTGCAGCAGCTTACATTTTTGGGAAAACATTCTATGCATCAGACATACCTGTCAAGTGCTTCTCAAACACCACTGAACAATAATCACCACCCTTAAGTCGGTCTCTCTCTCTCTCTCCCTCTCTCTCCATAGTGGGAATCAAACCCACAGCCCTTCCTCTGAACTATGTCCTCAGTGCTTTTGAACTTTTATTTTGCGATAGGCTCTCACCAAGTTACCAAGGCTGGGCTGGAACTGGCAATCCTCCCACCTCAGCCTTCCAGTGTTGAGATTATAGGTTTATGCCACAACACCTGGCCCATAAATCTCATTTACATTTTTTTCTTGTTTTTCTCTTTCTTTCTTTTCTTTTTTTTTTTGGGGGGGGGTTCTTTTTTGAGAGATAGAATTTCATTGTGCAGTTCAGGCTAGCCTTGAACTCACTTTGTAGCTCAGGCCTCAAACTCACAGATATTCTCCTGCCTCAGCTTCCTGAGTGCTGGGATTACAGACATGCACCACCACATCCTGCAAATCTCATTTACAAATGAGAAAAATGAGGCATGGGGAAATCAAGTCACTTGCTCAAAGTCATGCAGGTAGAACAGAATAGGTTTCAATTCAGCATCTGACTCCAGAGCCTGAGCCTCACGCCACTCTCTGTCTCACTCTTTGGACACCCCACAGCAGTATAAGGCTGAGGATAAATCCTGCTTCTGTAACCTTTTGACTCCACTGCACTGGAGTTCCAGTGGATTAGGGGGAGGTGGTGGAAGGCTCAGGCACAGATGGTGCTGACCCCATTTTCCCTGCAACATTCACAAACCCTCGATGAACTCTGAGTCCCTTGTGGGCATGACCAAGGCGGAGACAAGAGGCAGTGCCTTTGCTTCCCTGTAAACTGTGCGCCGCTGGTGGGAAGGGATTTGGAACAGGCCTGGCGGGGCGCGAGGAGCAGAGCCGCTTCAGCACCAAGGACAGCGGTCGCGCTCCCAGCCCAAAGGCCGCAGTCTTTTTGGGGGAGCCACCACCGAAGAACAGTGGTCCTCCAGGACTCTCTGCCTACCATGTCCCCGTGAGCTTGGGGAAACTCAGGCTTATGATGTTCTCCACCTCCCGTCAGCGCCAGGACCCAAGAATCCCACATTTCTTGTCCCGAGGCTCTTTCTCTTTGTTTTCGCTTCAAGGCAGACATTAAGGAACGCTCGCAAAGCGACCTGACCACCAGCACTGATGCTTTTTCCTCCTCTGCATCCACCGCGCATATACACGAGAATAAGGACAGCAGAGAAAATGAGAAGCTAGCGCTGCCATCCCGGCCTTTTCCTACCTCTGCCCCTTACTGGGTCAGGACCGCAAAACCTGGGGCTTTGCAAGCTGTCGTCATGGCAACCCCAGAGTCCCGGGAAGTGATTGGTTTTCCTGCCACGCCCCTACACCAACAACTTCCCTGCAGTGAGGCACGGAGGAGTGCTGCCCTCTCTGTTCTATCCCTTCTTAGAGGTTCAGTAGGGTAAGGACCCGCCCCCTCTCTCTAAAGAAACAGCATCTCTATCCCCTTACTGGGTAATTATGGGGGAGGGAAGATAAGAGGCCATTTCTAACCTCTTAGGAGTGGCTGGGCTGTCAGTGAAGTCACTTCCGGTGAGTACAGGAAGTGGGAGGCAGGTTGCTCGGAGAGACAATGGGATGAAGTGAAAGAGGAAGAGAAAGAGCTAGGGAATCTCTGAGAGGATGGATGAGTGGGGTCTGGGCCAAATTTTTCACTCTCTCTGAATCAAGCCCATTCCAAGTGGTCTGGAGTGCTTTCTAGACTGTGGAAGCTGACTCCCTAACAGAAGTATTAACCACTAACATGTCTTTAATAAACTTAATCAGCATTGTCCCACTGAACCCTGTGGAGGCATTCAGGAGGAATGTCCCCTTCTGACCCTCACCAGCCTTACAGCAACCCACTGTCTGCCCCAGCTGACCTGCTTGGCTCTGTCGGGGTTCATCGTGGTTTGGGGTTGAAGGATGTTGACCACCTCAGGCTTGGTCATCGCTTGAGGGATTTCTCGGACCTTCTCGGCAATAAAGCTGTGCACAGCATTCAAGGCCTCTGCTGTGCCCTGTACTAGGCATACCCGCTCTGTGGTTCCTGTTGAGCAAGGGAGAAACAGGGCACACTCATCAGACAGGAATGGGAACATTCCTGAGAGCCAGGCCCCATTTAATGGAAGGGGAAAACTGAGGTCTGGTGAGTGCCTGGAGGGCACACAGTGAGTTTGGGCAAGCTGACATGGGTACCCAAGCCAGGATGCATAGCTGGGAGAATGAATGGAATCCCTGTTTCATAATCTGCACTTTACCTCCCTCCCCTAAAACAACCCTGGGGGAAGGGGTAGAAGAATGATGTTTAAGTGTATTGCGATGCCCACATTAGCCCTGGGCAGGGCAGACCAGGCTCAGCTGCTTCTTCCCAGTTCTTTCGGGCTCCTTGGTTGCTTTGGCAACCATTCATTCACTACTACCCCCCCCCCTTTCTAGAAGCAGAGTGCTCAGGCCTGCAATGGTTGCCACAGTAACTGGAACCCCCTTATCGGTCTGGCTGGCCAGGTCCTCAGCCCACCCCCAGGGGGATGAGGGATGAGGCCCTGTTGCCATGGCAATCCCTGAAAGCCTGCAGCGCTGGCCTCTGGGCTTTTGGAGAGGATGGGGAAGGGCTGGGGGATGGGAGAGGGAGAAGAGAGGTCTGAGCGCCTGCCTGGACCCACCAGATGGAGGGCTGTGGGTTGGGGGAGGGCAGGGGTGTGGAGAGGGGAGAGTAAGATGGGTTAAAGGCAACTCTTGGAGTGGGGACTGAGAGACCGGGAAGGGAGGTGGGGAGCTGTCTTTGCTGGATCTCCTCTAGGTATTGACTGCATTTCTGACCTAGGCATCCTCCTCAATTCTGTATGCCTTGGGGGTGGGGCACAGGCAGAAGAGAAGCTGGGTGGTGTTGGAATATATGCGTGTGGAAAAGAGACCCCACCATGATGTGCGTGCACCTGGAGGCTGCCTGGACTGAGCGGAGTACATGCATGTTTGCATGCCCTTGGTCAGGGCCAGCTAGAAAACTGTAATTCATGTTCATGTGTATAAAAGAAAGAGCAGAGGGACTTCAGGGAGATACGGAATACACTGCCACAGAGCTTCCAGTGATGGGTTTGTGGGCATCGGTGTGTGGGAAAGACATGGTGTCATCATGATGAACAAGGCCATGGTGCCGTTTGTACGAGGGAGCTGAGTGTGTAAGAGCTTGGCAGAAAGAAACAAAGAATCTCACCAAGGGGCACTGATGATGCCACTCACCGAGGGCATGTGTGCCTATGGGACATCGCCCACCGTGGGGGTTCTGGGCGCTCTGGGTGACTGGCGCATGGTATGTGTAGGAAGCAGACATGACCCTCTGACTGGCGTAGGGAAAGGAGAAACAAACACAGAGACAGGTAGACTCAGGTGTGTGTGGGGGAGACTATCTGGACCGCAGGGGGGTGTGTGTGTGTGTGTGTGTCCCCGAGTGTAAGAAGGGCCTGCCAAGACTGGCCTGGGTGAAATCTTGAGTGCCTAGGTGACCCTGGGCATGTCTGATGTGTAACGTCTGAGTGCATGTATCTTCCTGGGAGGGACTTTGTTTGCAAGAGCCAGTTAGCTCTCCGGGCCTGTAAAAGGTCTTGAAAGTATGCCAGGCCCTGTGGCCGTGCGTCTGGGACATTTGGCGGTGACTGTCATTATCCCACGAGCACTTCAGCACTGTGTGCTGGTGCTACGACCCTGAGCCCTTCCTTGCTTGCCATCTCTCAGTCTGGCATGCCAGCCTCTCTGTGTGTCTGGGTGTCATGGTGGGCCGCCTGTGTAGGTGACAGTGCCTGCCCTCTCTGGGGCACCGTCCTCATGTTAGTCCCCTCCACCCCAGAACAATGGCTTGGTCTGAGCCAAGGGTGAGTCAGTGCGCAGGCTGCTCCGTCTGGGTGTAAATAGGAAAGGGTGTGGGTCGGGCTGGGAACCAGGGGGGCGTGGAGGGGGAAGGGGAAGCCCCAGGAGAACCTGGCTCAAGCAGCTAGGTTCCCTCTCCTCTCTGGAGGCTTCCTTCCAACAAAGGAGACCTGTGACCTCCCACCCCCTTGCAGTTTTTAACTTGGGGGTCCACAGGGGCTTTGCAGGGCGGGGGTGCAGTTAAACCCTCATAATAACAGCTGGTGATTACATAACACTAAGCACCAGGCACCATTCTGAGCTCTTCATGTATATTTGTTCATGTAATGTAGGAGTTTGGGCAGTGTTCACTTCCCTGATTCCCTCGAGACGGGCACTGAATTGCAGAGAGGGCCAGGGCTTTGTCCAAGTTCACTTCCCCCGTGCAGAACCATCAGGGCTCGTAGCCCTGGGCTGTGGCTTCCAAGGCTGTGCTCTTAACAATTACGCCACCCTGTGCTAAATTTAGGGTTCTTGGGGCTATTAGTTCTGTGTGTGTGTGTATGTGTGTGTGTGCACGCTGGGGGCATAAATGACTGCAGTTTTGTTTTTATGATTTTAATATGTTTACCACTTAAGGTTTTGCCCTGTGGTGCAAGTATGTTACAGATCAATAAAAATTAACATGACAGACATCCCTGTGTGTGTCTCCTGTGTGCTTTTCTCCTCGGAGTTGGAACCAGAGCGTCCCAGAAATGCTCAAAAAGAGTGAGAGTTTTAGAATCACTAGAGAGACTGGCTGGGCAAGGGTCTCCCTGGCTGTGGCCAAGAATGTGCTTCTTTCTCTGAGTCTTCACTTCCTTATGCAAGACCCCAAAAGGATTGAATCTGGGGCTCTGGGACCCATCACTGAGAAGGGGGCACTTTCTGTGTGTGCTGTCCCTCCACCATCATTTCTCGCTTGGTTTTAGGCCTCTCTGAATGGGCTATTTTTTCCTCCCCTTCCCTGCTCTCTACACAGCTCCTTCCCACTCATTGTTTGGTCTCCTCCAAGCGCCCTTCCTGACCTCCCCAGCTCCCCAGGCTCTGTCTGGGTTCCCACCACCCGCTGGACTTCCCCGTCCCAGCCCCGACTATTGTGGGGCATCAATGTTGTGAGTTCTGTCTCCCACACCAGGCTGTGTCCCCTGCTCCGCCCTGCCCAGGGCTGGCACAGAGGAGCTGCTGAGAGCAAGTGCACTGAACGAACGAGTGAATGAACGGATGGATGAATGAAAGAGTGCCAGGCAGGAGCAGAGGGAAGTATGGTCTTTGTCTCATGCAGTAGCATCTCTATTTCCTGGGCTCCTGCAGGCCCTTGGAAGGGTAGCAGGATGTAGGGCACTATGTGCTGCATCTCGGAGACAGGAGCTGGCGCATGCTGTGTGACCTGGAAGTCCCACGCTAGGGGTGGGGAGGGGGCAGGCTGCCTGCGCAGGGGCTGGGGGGACATGCGGGCTCACGCTGCTCATTTGAGCTGTGTTTAGTCCAGGAGAACCAAGGTCTGGTTTTCTCAGCTGGCTGGCCATGGAGTGTGTCACTGAGCCCAGAGGGAATGACGTGTCTTATGGCACAGACTGTGACTGAGGGTCAGGGAACCTAGTGTCCCCAGATGAATGTCCCAGGCAGAGGTCTTGTGCACATCTTGTGGGCTAGAACGGTGCAGGGGAAACTGGGCCAGGGTGGAAGAAGAAAGGAGGCTGTGTGCCTGGGTCACTATAGTTTTCTCTAAACTCTCTGCCAAGCTGCTTAGTGAGATGGCAGGAGAAGCGGGGGGAGAGAAGGAGCGGGCTGGGGTGAAGGGCAGAGAGAAGAGACGAGACAGAGACAGAGAGAAAGTCAGCGTCCTCCCCCTGCGCGCCATCTCTGGTGTTTTGACAGAAACAAATTCAAGATTAAAGATGAACTAGAACCACTGCTGGACTAAGGATGCAATGCTGTATTCAGGGGCCTTTCCTGGATTCCTACATGTCACAGCCCAGACACGGAGGGGTGAGAGATGTTGAGGGGGGCTAGGGAAAGCGGAGGGGCATTAGCAATGTATGCTTGGGAGGTCAGAGATAGATTCAGGGAAGCAGAGAGGGAGCTTGGTTTGGAGAGAGGAGAAAAACAAAACAAAAACAAAAACCCAGGAGGGAGCTAAGAGGAGAAAGGACGACATACAGGAGAGAGATGGGGGAGCAGAAGCGGGACAACATAGTGGCACAGGGGGACCCCACGAGGGGTGCCGCTATGGGGCAGCTGAATGGGTGGCGAAAGGCTCAGAGAAGGAAAGAAAGAAAAAGGTGAGACTGAGAGGTGGAAGGAAAAAGAGAAAAGGAGGAGGGAGGACAGAGAGGAGGGGCAGAGGAGGAGAGGTAGACAGGAGGACGGACAGACAGCAAGGGAGGCTCAGAGGACGGATGGGAGCTGCGGACATCCAGACAGAAGCTGAGAGACAGCAGCAGACGGGCTAGGAGGAGGCAGAGAGAGGCGGTGGGGGAGAGGGCTGTGGGCACAGGGATGGGACAGGCAGAGAGAGAAGACAAATCAAGAGTGACCCAGAGACGGATAAAACCGGAGAGACCAGGGACGGGGTAGGGGGTGACAGAAATCCAAAGGGAGAGTGCAGGGTGTGCGTGACATGGGTGTCCGGACCCTGTGCCTCAGGGGTGCTCTGACACCTGCCTCCCTCTCCATCCTAACTCCTCTGATTGACCTGAGGGGGCAGGTGTGTGGGAAGGGACACATCTGCCAGCACATCATGCAAATGAGCCCATGAATATGCAGTAGGACCATTGTCTCTCCCTGCCCCCTCCCCCATCTGCTCAGGCCAGGCCCCCTGGGCCACGACAGCTCTGTCCCCTTAGGGGGAGGGGTGGCCCCCCACTACTCTCACTGTCTGTAGGGCAGCCTCCTTCTTCATCCAGGGCCCAGGTGGGAGAGAACGGAGACAAGAGGGAGGCTGGGCACAGAGACCTGGGCCATGCGCAGCTCACCAGGGTAGAAGTCTTTGGACTTGGACAGCTTGATGGTGGCTCCGGTCTCCTTCTGCAGCTGCACGATGGTCTGGCCTCCTTTGCCGATGATGGAGCCCGCGGCGTAGCTGGGGATGAGCACCTTCAGGAAGTATTCGCCTTCCTCTGCAGGGACACACAAGGTGGAGGGGAGTCAGGCAGGGAGGCAGCTTCACCTTTAGAAGTCACTGTCCTCTGGCATCCCGTGGGCAGAGGAAACCTCACTGACCCACAGGAGCAATGACCATGCAAATGGCGGAGAGCTAGAACACAGAGGATGATCTGCAGCCACTCATTCATTCAACAAACAGCTCCCGAGCACCTGCTAAATGCTTGACACCAGGCAAGAAGAAAACAGTAAAACCGCCCCAATTTTGTGGGCAAATAAGATGAAAGGAATTTTAGTGATGCGGCCAAGAGTTCATACAACTACCTTCTTCTAGAGGGTCAGACTATAGTTCATGTCAAATGGTAATAACAGGAAGAGGCAGGAAAGAGGGATGGGAGAGGTAGAGAGTTGCAATGTCAGGGGCCTGGCACAGCTCTTCTGGGGAACCTGACCCTCCTCCATTCCTCCCAGGCCACTAGAGCATTGAATGTGAGCTGGACTCTGTTACAGGTACTTCACAAATGTCAGTCTTTTTATTTTTCACAGCAGCCATAGGAAGGAGGTATTATTTATTTTCTTAATTTTTATTTTTATCAGTACTGGGGATCAAACTCACAACCACGCCCTTGCAAGGCAGGCGCTTATGCCGCTGAGCTAAATAAATCCCCAGCCCCTGAAAGTGGTATAATTTAAAAGATATTTCTAGCCGGGCATATTGGCACATGCTTTTAATCCTGGCTCTGTGGGAGGCTGAGGCAGCAGGATCCTGTGTTCAAACCCAGCCTGGGCAGTTTAGCGATTTTGCAAGGACTTGTCTCCAAAGAAAACATTAAAGAAAAAAAAAAGTCTGAGGAAGCAGTTCAGTGAAGAGGCTAGTGTTTCAATCCCTAGTACCACCAAATGAATGAACAAATGCTTTAAAAACCCATTCTACAGATGAGGAAGCAAAGGTGAAGAAATCACCGAAGTATAGAGCCGAGCTCTGAACTTGTTCTGGCTCCCAGGATCCATGTTCTTTTTTCATTTTCAGACAGAGTCTTGCTATGTAGTTCAGGCTGGCCTTGAGTTCCCTATCTAGCCCAGGCTGGCCTCCAACTCATGGCAGTCCTCCTCTTGCCACAGTCTCCTAAGTGCTGGGATTACAGATGCACACTACTACGGATGGCCACAGTCTGTGTTCTGAGCCATTATAATTAGGCTGTGGAGGGGACAGACCATGTGGAGGATAAGCAAGTGCAAAGGTCCTGGGGTTGGATGGCATGTGGTATGTTCCAGGGACATCAAAAAGGCTCATGTATCTGAGGTTAAGTGAGACATAGGTTAGTGGAGGAGAGAGGACAGAGGGGCTGCTGATGGGGGTAGTACTGGGGCTTGTAGGCCCCAGAATCTCTGGTTTTTATCCCAAGTCAAGTTGAATTATGAGACGGATGTGACCTAACTTTAGGTTTGCAGAATATTCCTCTGTTGAGAGGAGCAGACTAAGAAGCAAGTGAGGAGGGCTGGCTGTCTGGAGAGGAGGCCACTGCAGTGGTTCCTGAGGGAGATGACAGTGTCTGACTGCTGGGAGCAAGGAGGCAGAGGAGGGCTGAGTGCAGGAGACTCTGAACTCTTGGGCGGGACCAGCACCAGGCTGAGTGCTCAGCAAGCAGAGGTCACCGTCGGCCCTATGGGCACAGAATGACCTGTGTCTACCCTCCGAGGAGACTGAGAGTCACAGGTACCTGCAGGAGGACAGGGAAGAGGCTGGGGGGGGGGGCAAGCCACTTCAGCTCTGCCTTCCCCACCCTCGATCAGTGCCTCTGTGGCTGCTGACTGACGAGCCACAGCTCAAGGTTGGCCCCCAAGACCTAGAAGTGCTTTCAGCACTGTTCATGGGGCTTGGTTGTTCCTTCTTAGAGACAGTTTTCTCGGCCATACTTAAAGAAGCACTTTGTTAATGCAGCCTCAGGCAAACTCTGACATTGCTTACTTTCTGACCACACTGCTGCCCCTGGGTGCTCCCAGCATGGACATTCTCATGCCTTCTCAGTAGAAGACCCTTTGTGATTTGACCCTGCCCACCTTTCAAGCTTCACCTCCTTATGGGCACCAAACTCACTGTTTTTTTTTTTTTTTTCCCACTTTAAATATTGCCTGCTCAGTACTGGGTGTGGCAGCACTTGGAAGGCTGAGGCAGGAGGATCACTGTGTTTGAGGCCAGCCTGGGCTACATAGTAGTTCAAAACCAGCCTGAACTGCATAGTGAGACCCTGTCTCAAACACAAAACAACACAAAGCAAAACACATTGCCTGCTCCCTCCCACCTCAGGGCCTTTGCACATTCTCTCTGCCTGGTACACCTTTCCTCCTCTTGTTCTTCAGGACTCCATTCAAAGATTGCTGCTTCTTAGAAGCTTTCCTTGAGCCCTAGGGATGGGGCAGACACCCCCCCCCCATTTTATCACAGGGGTCTGCAGTGGGCCGCATCAGCACAGTGCACCCCCACATTCTGGGGACTTGGGAAGTGTACAATCACATGATAGTGGATTGCAGTAACCAGTGGGGAAAGAGAAACCAGATAATACAGCTTCTAAAATTTCAGGTCTTAGGCTAAACTACATGGCGAGACCCTGTCTCAAACAAGATCAAACACACTCTAAAATTTAAGGTGTTAAATTATCCCTCAGTGGCTTCAACTTTTTCTTTTAAGCAAAAGAAGCCTATTTTTACTGGTTCCCATGAAATGCCAGCATAGAGAACGGATAAAAGAATTGTCTGTGCTGGGGACAGAGCTTAGTGCCTGGCGTGCGGGTTCGGCATGGTGTCATCCTCATCACCACCAAAACAACTAATCCACCAACCTGCCAGCCAACTTGGTGTATAAAGGAGGGGTAGGTAACCCCCGAAGATCCTACGCACCTTGCTGTGCTCCTAAACTTTGAAGATTCTATACTCTGGATGTGGTGGCACCAGCCTGTAATCCCATCCCTCTAGGAGGCTGAAGCAGAAGGTGGCGCAGCCTGGGCTACATAGTGAGTTCAAGACCAGCCTGAGTGACAACGCAAGACCCTGTCTCAAAGCAATCAAAGAAATGAAAAAGGCTGGGGATGTAGCTCCATGTAAAGGCCCTGGTTCAATCCTTAGTATTGTCTGAGGGGGGACGGTGGCGGTAAAGGTTCCAAACTGAAAGAGGCAGAGGACAGAGGGGAGGGAAAGTGGAGGGAAGAGTCAATGTGTTATGAACATGTACCGGCTTCCCATGGTGAATACAATCATTATGTACTGCAAACATGTGCAAAGAACAAAAAGACAAAAAAACACCAAATATGATAAACCCAGGTCTGTAATTCCACAACTCTGGGAGGCTGAGGCAGGAAGATCACAAATTGAGACACAGCCTGGGCAATTGGAAACAGAGAGGCATAAATAAATTTTTAAAAAAGCTGAGCTAACAGCTCAGTCAAAAAGCCCCAGATTCAATTCCCACTACCACAAAAAAAGAAAGTGAAATTCTGGGTTTCTTGATATGTTTGAGACAGGGGTGCGGGGAAGGGGCTGGATGTGGCTTTGCAGGAGTGCAGAAGGGGTCTAGAATAAAGGGTTTGCCTGAGCCCAAGGCAATCCTCTTAAAATGGCCTAATCAGACCATTAAGCCTATTAGGTAATTAACCCCCCAGGGTGCCTTCCCATCCATCATCGGGCCCCTCCTGAATTCACCTTCTCCTCTGGGCTCCCAGAGATGGCCTCCCTCCAGCCCTCCCCTCAGCCTGTCACGCAGATGAGGCAGGGCCCTTTATCTTGGGAGAGGTGGGCAGGGAATTCTCACTAATCCTAGGACAACACCCTCTGGCTCCTCAATTTCGCTTCCCACCACCTTTTGTCTCCAGCGCCCTGCTCCATGCTAGGAATTGAACCCGGGACCTTTTCACTCAACTATATCCCCAGTCCTCCACCGCTTTAAACTTTTTATCTTGGACAGCAGGGTCTTACTAAATTACCCAGGGTGAATTTGAACTGGTCCCCCTCCTGCCTCAGCCACCCAGAGTGCTGGGATCACCGACATGGTGTATTCCTAGCTTTCCTTTGAGGGCGGAAGATATGAATCAGGTATTCATCTTCTCTGAGTAAAACTGGGAATGTCCGCTCCCCATTCTTTGCCTCCTCTCTCTCTCTCTCTTGTGCTTCTTGAGCTTGAACTGAGCGCTTCCAGAAGAAACAGCAAAAACAACCCTAGAGGGAGTGTGAATTGTGTCACGGGCAGAGCTGTCTGGCTTTGGGCAAGTTGCCTTGTTATTTGGGTCTCATTTTTTTCACCCATAAAATGGGGGACATTCTAGCATTGCCTTTCAGGGTGACTGAGTCACTGGAGGATGAAATGTGAAGTCCTTAGGATGATCCTGGGTGGGTGCAGAGTAGTTGAGAAATGTCAAATGTCAGTATGGTCATTAACGTTATTACTCACATCATGGACAGAAGGAAAATGTTTATCACGGTGTCTAGCACAGAGCGAGTGCTCTATAAATAGGGAAGCAACTCTGGAGGCAGGTGAAGGAGGGGAGACCCCACTTCCTTTTACAGCTTCCCAGCTGCTTGGAGGAAGAAAGTCCTCATCCACACAAGCAGGACTCGGCTCTGTTCTGCCTCAGCATCTCTCCGGCTCACTTCTTTCTCATGCCACCTTGAATTTTGTTTGCCCTTCCCAACGAACCACTATGTTATTTCCTTCCTTCTTCCTCCCAGAAGACCTCTCCTGATCCCCCACTATGTGCCAGTGCTTCCACTGGGTGCTGGGCACACAGCTGGGCATCTTGACAGACAAGTTTCCTTTAAACCCTTTTCAGGAATTTTTTTAAAGAGGAAAATTAAATACCATTGCTACCAGGCGTGGCACAGACCTAATCCCAGCTCTCTGGGAAGCTGAGACAAGCTTTTCAATCGAAAAATTCAAACTCAGCCTGGACAATTTAGCCATTTAGCAACACCCTGTCTCAAAAAAAAAAAAAAAAAAGAGGCTGGGATGTTGCTCAGTGTAGAGGCC